CATACCCAAATATTCATGTAAAATATTCGATACATGTTCATATGATATATATATATGATATATCATCTCTAACTGGAACCAGGGGAAGATTGCAGCTGATATTTTTTATAATTACCTAATATTTTCTTTCAAATGCCCATTAGCCGACCTGTACTTTATGACTACTTATGCAATATTGAAACTCAACATATTCAATCTTTAAAAATTTATACACACTGTATTTATATACCCTGGAATTATTTGCGAAATCTGACAGACTTACCAACACCGCGTTATCAAATCTCAGAATGGTTACAGGTTCCCATGCAGAAAGGTATGCAGACCTGAGGTCAATTATTGCTTAGTCTGCTGAAGTGATAAACAATAATCTAGTCAAGATATAGAGAGGGGTTTTGAAGAAATCTCGAGTTAAAAAAGAGTATAAGCACTAGCTCAAAACAGCTTCAACATAATATACCTAAATACTGCAAGTTTGTACTTTTTCTACCATATGTACACTGTCATACGATGAAAGTACATAGACCTCTATATCTTTCTTAATAGTCTCTTACATATAAATTGTAAACTAAAGATTAAACGTGACTAGACTACTATTTCATATTTCATTTTTCATCCTTGGAAAAATGCTTGAAAAATGCCTACATATCCTTGGATATGTATCGCTTAAATAAAGTCTGGAGATCATCTCAGTTATCGCGCCGTACTAAAATTCGAATATGTAACACCATTATAAAATCTTGCCTCCTATATGGACGTCAATCTTGGAACGCTGCGGCAGACGGCATCAATGCACTACAAGTTCTCGTAAATCAATCATTATGTAAAATTGTTAAAGTATTGTGGCCAAACACAATTCCAAATGAACGTTTATAGTCTTTAACTCAACAAACAAGAACCAAAATCAAAAAGCGCAAATGGGACTGGGTCAGTCACACTTTGCATAGACCAATTGGTGACACCACAAGAATGGCGATTGAGTGGACCCCAATGAGTAGCAGAAGAAGGGGCAGACCTACACACACTTGAAAAAGGCAAATTGATATGGAAATAACACGTATGCGGAAAAACTGGCAAGAGTTAAAGGTACTAGCCAACAATCGTACTGAGTGTAACACCTTTGTTGCGGCCCTATGCTTCTCCTAGGAGCTATCAAAGCATTTATACTTCGATAGCTTGTTGTCAGATTCTAGCACAAAGTTTTTATTTTATAAATTTCCATTTTGGACTACTTTCTTTTGTGGACTGAACCTAAAAAATTAATTCTTTGCCTATAGGTGTACTAGTACTCTCTTAGCTGTCACTGCAAATGTCAATATACAGACCGCATTTTTTCTTCCCGATAATTCAGCTGATTACCTTCAGTATGTCAAAGATTTCTACTGAGAAGACTTTCGTTATGTTTGCAATAGAAAGTAAATACTCGGTTGCATTGTTTAAGTGCAACCCAGATCCAGTACTACGATCTGCTCAGGTGTGAATTTAACTGTTTCAACTTAACCATTGATACCGTTCTGGAAATCAGAAATCATGCCTTTGTTCAAAACATATTGAGGGCACTTGATACTGCTCCATCTGATTATCACGTCTTCTTTGCACTAAGTAATACTCTAAACGGGCAATTGTGCAACATTTTTGAAGAAATCGGAAAAAGACTACTAGACAAGATATTCTTTAAAAATTAAAATTTTTCTCTCACAAAATTAGTATGTTGTCTAAAACGTGACAAAATGTTGTAATTTGAGCTATCCCTGCAAAGAATCTCATTATCTAACGAAACAATTTATGATTGCTGATCAAGCCGAACGATATATCATGCTTCACAATCCCAGAACTGATTCGGTTCATAAAAAGCATTTGAAGGTCCTGTACTTGTTTGTTGTTAATAACAAAATACGAACAGATATAAGAGGAAGATTTGTCACTCTGAAAGTATCATCATCGTGTATCCCGTATTTGAAAGAAGGTAGTTAACAGTCTAGTTAGTTGTTAATACGATAAGATATGTCAATAAGCATTTTTAAACTTCCAATCACTTAGTTTAGTTGTGCGATAAATTTATGCATATATAAATTAAACGAAAATTCAAAGCGCCAGCTAAAAGCACCAAAAACTAATAAAACGTGCTACAAAAGCAAACATAAAAACAATTTAACAAAAACAACCTCACAAACTATTAAAATTGTAAGCTAACTACAGAAATGTTAAAGAAATGAATAATACTACTTCTAACACCACCAAAACTGTCTGATCAACTAATAAAATTTTCTGTTCTGAAAATCAACCTTTCCGTCTGCACGCTATTTTTTATTTTTTGCACCAACAATAAATACAATTATGTCTATTTTAATATCCTAACCAGGAAAAGAATAAAAGGAGTACAACACCAGCATCTATTACCGACAGACGGATGTACACCTTCATTTACCTGTTGTTAATTTGTCCAGGTAAATCATATACGTATTTTGTAGAATATAAAACATAAATTTTATATCTTTAATGAATCCTTGGTGGAATCAAGAAATTTATTATATCTCTGAATAGTTTCGTCCATCTACAATAATCCAATAATTTGTTCAGTTTTTATAAAAGTAATATTAGACATTGCCTAACTCCAAAAATAAGGTCAAAGGAAATGGTGATATAAGATGATTAATTTTTAGGTATTTTATTTCCAAAATTAGAAACTGGAAAGAAAATACTTAAAAATATGCAAAATTACGGAAAATTCCAAAATTTCCAGGATACTGAACAATGATTTTAATTAATAAATCATTTCAATTTTACATTAATTATTTATTTTTATGCAAAATGTCATATGCAAATTTTATTATTTGCGAAAACATAACATTTGACAGATTGCAACACTGATGCCAATTCTCGCTTAGCGTCTATAGGCCAGCAACTTGCTGTTCTTTGCCATACTTGCGAGCTGCCGAAAGCACCTATTATTTTTTATACATAAATAATTATTTACTGAATTTGACTCATGTCATAAAAGAATTAATAGTAGCCATTGCTGTATTAACAACAACAGTTGCAAAAAAATAAATGAATAAATATATAAATAAATCAATGTGAAATAAATACTCGCAACTTACGAAAGTAAGCATGAGAAGCAACAATAACGCTCTTAAAATCTTCAGAGATAGGTTTTATTAGCAAAAAATTTTAAATCTTAAGTTTAGGTGCAACCAAATTCAAAAATCAGTCTATTGTGAATGTTCACTGGAAATATAATGCAAAATTTCACTCCTCTGTTAAAATCATATGAGCATTTTATTTACTAATAAATTTAAATATGTAAATAAATAAATTAATTTAAATATGCAAGTTAAAAATGCTTACCATTGCCCTTCTAATATTCATTTTACTTTCTTTGATTTAAATGAATAAATTTTTAATGTTTACAATTTTTTTATTTCATATTGTACATAACACAAAAAATATTTAAAATATATGTATTTTAAAAGTGATGTAAATTAGTTTCAACTAGAGTTAATGCAGTTTTTTTATAACTCTAAAAGAAAAATTATAGCTTCTGAATGAAACTGTCATAATGTCATTTAAGATTTTCACTTTTATCAATACGCAGTGTGAACCAACCCTAAAATCGCATTACCTGAGTCAAGATAGCACCTGAGTTAAGATAGCAACGACGCTGGGAGGACTACACCGGAAATGGAACACGAAGTTTTTCTAAGTTTATTAAAACTTAATTAATTTGTCAAAATTAGCTAAATTTAATTAAAAAAACTTATAAGGATCAAAATGCACACGAAAACCTTTAAAGACAATAGAACAAACTTTCATTCAAATATGAAAAACATTATTTCTGTTAAAACACTTATTTGAAAGAAAGTAAAGATGAGAAATGTTCAGAAATATATTATAAAATAATCATTTAATAAATTCAATTAAATATTTTATTCATATTATATGTATTTCATCAAAAATATTGAAATTTTTTCAGCTTAGAATTTTATATAACTTAATATCTGATGGTAAATACTTGGCAATATTCGAAACAGCGTTGTATGGGCAACCAAATTTAAAAAAATTAACTAAATTTTTGTGTTTTCAACAAATTAAATTAATTTTTTTCAAAAATAAAGTTGCTTCTGCTACACAATTCGTTAATTCCTAACAAATGCATAAACACCATAAAGCAAATACAAACACCACAATTTATTTGGTTTTGAAATATAGATGGCAGTCTACCTCCTGCCTTGTTTTTACTCCGTATATGGCAATGCGCAGGTTTTCATTTTTATTTCAAATAATTGAATTTGGACAATTTTTAAAAAATAATGTGCAATAACTATGTAGACGATATTTTGATTGATTTTAATCATTCTGGAAAGGTGATATATTTATCTTTAAAGGAAAAATAAATTCATAGGAGACGAGAAATTTTGCACCAGATGATATATGGTTTAGAGTAAAGTAAGGTAAAAAAAATAGTTATTTTGTATAAGTTTTTTATGATAAATGTAAAATATTCCGTTGACGTTTTAAAATTATATTTTCTGATGTGTTTCTCAACATTTTGTGATTTTACCTTTTTTTAAATAGGTGATTTGGAGGTAATTAAGGTTTAAATTTTTAACAAGATTTTGTGCAAATTCCACTTGGATGATTTTTCTGATTTTTACATCAATTGAAAACTTGTTTTATTGCTTTTCAAACTCATGTGCGTGCAAGTCCTGCATGCTCCTAATTGTTTTTTAATAATTTTTTAAATAAAAATAGTCAGTTTTTTGAAAAAGTTTCCTTTTAGTTTTCAAATATCTCAGCTAGTACGCAACATACGATTATGAGATATATTCCAAATGAAAGATTATTGATTCTTCTATATATTTTTCTATTTAAATAACATATTTTATTTGATGAAAAAGCTTAAATTTAGCTAATTTTGACAAATTAATTAAGTTTTAATAAACTTAAAAAAATTTTGTGTTCCATTTCCGGTGTGGTCCTCTCAGCGTCGTTGCTATCTTGACTCAGGTGAAAATATTTGTTGTTTTGGTACTGTGTTTTGACCAAAGAAACAATTCCGCAAATATGCCATAAATATTTTAATGGAAAATTGTGTGCATTAAAAACCTAAAAATTACAATTTAAAAGGCAAAACAATTTTGCAGAATCGCGTATAACAGAAAAAGATAAACTACAAATACTGCGAAGAATAACAACAAAAATACAGGCAAAAAAAAAAACAACAAAGAAAGTTATTTTCGTGCATACAAGTTTTAACAGGTAAGTTTCGAAAGAAAGTGAAAACTTTGGCTGTTTGTTTCTTCATAATTACCATAACACTTTTGGGCAAAAGAAAGAAAAAATTTTTGAGAAATTAAAGTAAAAGCGATATTATGACAACAAACACAAGTAGCACAAGTTTGCAAGAAATGGATACTAACCCAATTGCAGAGGAATTGGAACAGGATTTCCTAGAATCCAAATGGTGGACCATACCACACCATATCTTGCACAGTATATTCTATTCGTTGCCTGTAAAGGATGTAGTTAGCGCGAGTGGAGTCTGTCGACGTTGGCGTGAAATTGCAAGCGATGAGTTATTGTGGAAAAAGAAAATGCATCGTCACTTCAAGATTGATCCGACATTGCCATTAAAACCAGGTACGTATAAATATATATGTATGACAGTGCAGTGTATAGTGGAAACAGTAAATGGGGCGGGATAAGGCGAGTCGAGGCGGTCACTATTATGATAGCAGTTAAATAATAATTAGGGAGTGGAAGTTCTTCCTACACACAACCTGGGAAGATTATTTTTATCACAAGCTTGACCTAATTCTCTTAACCCCACAACAACAATTGGCCTAACCTTACCCACTCTTGCACAAATGTCAATATCAACTGGTGTTTGCAACAAACATATGTTATGCACATACATATATGCAAAATACTTATGTATACACACGCTCGGCTCGGCTGTTTACATACAAACAGACAAGTAGGTGGGAGGAATTATAAATATCTCATTTAAGGGTAATTTGTAATTTAAATGGGATCAGTGCCAGAGTCTAGATATATAGATTGATTATAAACAACAATAAAACATTTGTTTTCTTATTTGTTATTTATTATAGAAATAATTAGGAATTAGGAATCTCTGCTCGTTTATTGATTGATATTTGAATTAAAATTAAATTAAAAAGTAAAATTAGTTTAATACTAAAATTTAAATACATAGCCTTATATATAATTTTATAATATATATAAATATCAATTTATATGTAGTAGTTATAAGTAATGAAAATTACTTAATAGTTTATAATGTGCCCAGTAAAAAATCTATTCTAATTATTCTTTTAATTACATTTTGTGTTTAATAGATTAAATTAACTTTTAATTAACTAAATTAATTAAAAGTAATTACAATTACTTTATAGTTTATAATGTATTATAAGTATTTTTCTAATACTTCTTTTATTTACATTTTAGGGTTTAATAAATTAAATTAACTTTTAATTAACTAAATTAATTAAAAGTAATTAAAATTACTTTATAGTTTATAATATGTCCAGTTAATAATCTATACTATTTATTTTTTTAATTACATTTTAGTGTTGAATAAATTCGTGTTACGGAGATAAACCGATTTTTAGTCTTAAAAATGACATTATTTATTAACTGACGCTTATATCTGTTTATACCGCTTATACCGATTTCACTATATTTCTGGAACTGATTTGAATGTCTAAAGCCTGGTTCCTACCATCTTGTTTCGAATCGAGATCATGATGATAAACCCACATATCATTCATAGTGATAAAGTAATAAATAACCCTTCTGAAATGCTCTAGATGTTGCTGAATGCGATTAATTCAAAATAGTGAAGTGAAGAAACCATTAACTTAGTTTTTGAAATTCAACTCAACATAAAATATTGCCCAATATGCCTAATGCAAGGAGTAGAACTTCTATTAAGTCTATTTTTGGCCAATCAATGCTCTTACAAAACGATATGTTATTGTTACTGTGTACTTCCTTTGGGGTCTGGTAAATGGCACTTGGTCCTAAAGTCGGTTTTGTTTTTTAGTATTTTAAGTTTTATTTCGTTAGTTTTTTTTTGTATAGTCCTATAAGTATTTCGGGAAATTCGCTTTTGTCTTCATCAGGAGAATTCCTAATATTAAAAACATCTATGCAATTTACAAACTATTTATACTTATAACAGGTGTTATTATTTAATTTTAATTATTTGGGTATTGGTGTTTTTGTTCTTGAATGTAACAGGTTAAAGTGGTTACACTTGGGTGTTTAAATGAATGCTAGCTTTTGGGCCATAGACCCGGCCGTTCTTGGAATTATGTCGTATATTATGTTTACGATTTCTATTGTTGATGCAGTTTTTGGGCGTACTTTACTTGAATTGTTTTTAAGATTTGTACGACCACTTCTAAAAAGACTACCCAAGCCATTATTTTTAAAGGAACAGATTTACCTAACACATACAGCATTTCGTTATAGATTCTCATTGCTTTACATCACTTACAATTTGATCAATGCACGTTGTTCAAGTTTTTCCATTTTTTAAAAATACCTTGACGCATCAAATGGTTTATACTATAAATAAATAAAGTATTGATATATTAAAACAAAATTTCAACTATATTTTAATGAAAGACATAATGTTAAGAACACGTTAATGATTTCGTTCCACTCTGAATAAATAGATGGTGCTACCTGAACTTATAGCACATATATCATATATCAACAAGTATAATAACTTCCGTTAATTTTACAACGTAACAAAAAAAAAATATATAGACCGTGTAAAATTATAGCGATACCAGATTAATGACCTCAGATCCTGTAAACAAGGATAAATAATACTTAAGATCTGTATGTTAATAATGAGTACAATTAAACCCAGTTGAATTATATAGTAATTAATTATTACTATACTGAAAACCCACTTGAGTGGCCATATATTGTCCGTCAGCTTTTGTTTATTCAAAAGATAATACCCTTTGATGTCTGACCAAAACAAATTCGACTTTAAAAAACTTAAGCTCCCAAAAAAGAAGTGTGCGTTGAAGTGAAGTATATTCGGCATAAGCATTTTCATTTAACAAATAAAAGATAAATACAATATATTTTGTTTAATATTGTTTTTATGTATCCTTTCCTATAGGAGCTGAATCGTGGCGTAGTGAATATGTGCGACTTGCCTGCGAAATACCGTTTATACAAACACAATCCATACGTGGACATGCTCATCAAGTGCTCCATGTTAGCTTTTCGCACGATGGTGATATGTTTGCTACGTGCTCCAAAGATGGTTATGTTATAGTAAGTAATACAACAATACTAGAAGCTAACACTGTCCTTAATATGTATATAACAAAAACATGTTATAAACTGGTTATATTCTCCATTCAGAGTTATTTATATTTTTTGAATTTATAGAACTCCAAGTCGTTGGTTATATTTTTTCTGGGAATATTTTAAAACAAATATTTTTTGAGCGATAGCGTTAGTTTTCATTTCAAATAATCCATCAATGCTCATACACTTTATTGCTCATGATAGGAATTGCAGCATGTCTCCAACATTCAAGCAAGCCCATTTGACAACGGAATTCAGTCTCAACATAACTTAATTTTTAGGGAAAAAAAAATATCACTAACAATAAGTTAAGGCCCAGGTATTTCGTACATTTTAGTCGTAAAAATTACATTTACTAAATAGTGTGTATAGCTTTTGTTGATCTTAGCAGTGTTAAAAATGTACAATTTTAAATCTCAATATCTCAAGAAGTAAGCTATGTTAGCACAGCATAGAAGAAAAAATTGCTAGAAGTATTTTATTCTACTTACTTACTTACTTAGTTGACCATTACAGACGTGAGTCGTGAGTCGCCCGATTAGTTGCTTGCTGTCGGCAGTTGGTAGTATCGAGCGCTCTCAAATCGTTAGTCACCTGATCCTTCCACCGAAGATGCGGACGTCCTCCACCTCGCTTTCCACCTGCGGGTACCAAATCAAACGCCTTTCCAGCCGGAGCAGTTTCTTCCATTCGCACGACATGACAAAGCCAGCTATATGATATACTACTTAATGCATCTACAAATATATAGTTAAATATATAGTTATATTTAACTATATATATATATATAGTTAAATATATATATAGTACAAATATATAGTATATGATGTCTTTAATTACCTAATTCTATGACTACGTATATATCTTGTTTCATGTGATGTCTTTAAAGCCCAATAGGTCTATGCGT